TCTGCTGGATGTGTAACCAGGCAATTGATATCTAAAAATCTGAGCAATAACAGCTTAGTAAGGTAGTAACAGGTCAGGGCTTTGGGTTGCAAGGCGTCTCTGCACCCTAGTGGCCACAAATCGATTAATGCAGCTTTAAGGAAAGGGCTTGTGCAACAGCATACACGAGACGGAAACACAGCTGTTAAATTTAAGAATAAAGCTTCACCTTATAACAAGTGGCTTCCTACATCTTTACAGATAGATGGACTGAACCAGTGGACTGTCAGAGGAGGCTCAGTGGTGTCACTGGTGGGTCACTAGTGTGCTTTTTTAAAAAGGCAATGAACAGCATGTGGGGCATTGTCATACAATTCTCCAACGCAGAGCCTAGTGTGAGGACCAGCTGCCCAGTGACTATTACTCAACACAGTCATCGAGAGGACATGGGAGGCCTGGTTGGCTGTAGCTCAGTACAATGCCTACTGCTCATGATTGATGAGGATGATGCTTGTAGAGTTACAGATGTAACCACAGTAGTTTCTGACAGATCTGAAGCCTGTTGTTCTGGAGGTCTCGCCGCCCTACTGCTCTGCTGTGTGAGTGGCTCCGACCTCCAGAGGCGCCTCAGGACTCGGGAGGCTTTCTGGACTGTCCATCCACAACTCCAACGACTCCTGAGTGTCAAAGAACTCGTCAGGTCCCTCAGGAGACTGGGGAGTCTGGGAGCTGGATCCTGCCTCGCTGCTGCTCTCTCTGAGCTCCAGCAGCACGGGCAGAGAGCCTGGGAGGCAGTAACCCTCCATCCGGCCCAGAGTGAGCTCAGCTAACGCCGAGCAGGGTGGTCTCAGGCTGGGATCTGAAATTGCACCGCTGGCAGCATCATCGGCTGCGGGAGCCCCCTCTGGCCCTTCCTGTGTGCAATCAGGATTATCAGGCTGGTGACCAGTAATGGCGCACTGCTCAGCATCATCCTCCGGTGAGTTATTTGGAGTCAGAGGAACTTCACCGGGGTTTGCAACAGCAGTGCAAGTTGGGTCGAGGACTTGTGACCCGGCGGCAGACACCGGCTGAGTGGAAATGTTTTGCGAGGAGTGAGTTTCTTCGCTGCTCTGAGGGGTGAGGGATATCTTATCACTGAAGCTGAAACGTGGGGAAGTGTCAGCTGTAGTGGGAGAGGACGGCCCCGCGCTGGATACTGTGCTGGATGGACCGCTGCTGTCTGCAGGAACAGAAAACACACAGGACCAGTATGAGAGCGAATAAGAATACAGACAGAACTTAATTGTTGATTCATTTAGCTAAACATGGAAACGAACAAAAAAGTAAAAGCATTTGCAAGAAAAGTGTTGTGTGTTGGTTCACTGGGTTCTGTGGAGTGTGAGAAGATGACAGCAGCACTAAATAACTGTGAGGCTGTAATGGACGACTTGTATTCCATAAATAATCCACAGACGTCTGAAACTGAGACCGCCGAGGGAGGCCAACCTAGAAATGTCAAATCCTGGTGCGAACAAGGAGATGCTGCGATACTCACACCAAGGGGGTCTGTCAGAACGAGATCTGAGAGAGATGGAAGATGTGAGGACTCTCTGAGGGATGTACGAGTCCACTGACGGCTGGTTGTGTGTCTCAAACATGGCTGACAGAGCTGCAGGGATAGAGCAAGGACCACCGACAAGTTAAGCGATAGCAATTATGACAATAACAACATGAATTTATGTTTGTTTCTAACCTCTGGTAGTCCTCGTGTGTGGATCCCCTGCGCTCTCGCACACGCCGGCGAGGAACTCGTTGACCTGTTTTAGCGACAGCGAGTTGTGCAGCGTTTCCAGAGGATAGATGGAGGGCACCATGGAGCAGCCTTCGAAGCCTGCGGCAGAGGAGAGACACGACGCCCGCAGGCACATCAGCCCTCAGTTAGACCGGGTAGTCAGAAGAGGAGCAGGAACAACCACTTCAGCTGTCACCCGACACCGCTGCCCCAATGCCACCCATACACTACACCTCAACACGGTGCTCTGAAATCCTGCTCCTGTTTCTGAACGGGCCCTAACCCGCTGTGAACTCCTGCCAGCCTCTACGGTTCATTTCCACGCAGGCAAGTTGCAAAAACCATGCTGGACGCCAAGACAACATGACACCATATCAAACGGCAACAAGTCTACACATCTCAAACGTCTCGCTGTGTTTGCAAAAGCAAGCAGATCTGACAAAACTTAACGTCTGCCTTTCTGGTCAGTCCCAACACAAAGAAGCTGCAGCTCACTGTGGTCAAAGCTGTCCAGACTGAATCTCAGGTCTATCACAAGTTATCAAAGGCAGTTCATCCACTGTTAGTTCACAACCAAGCCACATTTCACCAGAGCCGTTCACAATCACAAAGCGTCAAACCACAGCTCGTCGCCATCGTCTAAAACCTCAGAGCAGGGCGTTTTTACTGCACAGGGTGAGTACGCCTGATGTACAGCGAACAAGCAGGAATCACATGCTGGTTAAGGTCAGGTAGGAGGGCAACTGGCATTCAAATCTAATTCAAACAGATTCTAAATGCACAGAGTTGAATGTGATGTGGATTAATAACACCAGTTTCTGTATCCTTTTGAAACATGGAGGTTCAGGCTGGTGATGACAGATTATCTGCTCAGAGCTCCAAGTATAAAAAGATCTTTAATCTTGACCCAAGACAGCTTGATGCCAAGATGGTGCTGCTTTATCAGCAGCATCAATCTGTTTCTGTGTCGCCTAAACATATAAATATTCATATATTATGTTGTCAAGAACCCACTGCCAATATGATGCTATGTGCAATATGTTGATTTATATACATGTTTGTGGAGGAATGTGCTGATACTGTACATGTTTCTGTATCACTTCTACTGTATGCTGTATATAGGTGGGTATACCAGAGTTTCACTACAGGTACCAATAGTTTCAGGAATGTTAAAATTTTTTTCTACAAAACCCTTACTACATGTGAAACAATGAACCGACATTTTAATGTTTAATACTTTTTAAACTAGGGATGGACTGGTTTAAGCAAAAAAATCTGAACCATTTGGTTGGCTAGTCATGGGTTTGGGGCGTGTATGTTAATCTGAAATATGGGGTATGAGGCAGAAAAAAGCCTTGCGCCGATAACTTCTTCGATGAAGTGCGGAGTGCAGCTTTCAATCAGTCTTAGAAATGTCAAATGGACAAAACAGAGTACCCAAACAGTTAAAGGATCAGCTATTATCTTTTTCTGTCTGCAGTATTACGCATTTAGTGCAAAAAAAGTGGTGCATAAAACAGCGACTATGTGCAAGCACTATGCAACAAGTAGTACTTGTTATACTTCCAATATGATGAGCGTCAACATCACCCCCGAGCGTCCGTTAACAGCACAAGGAGGAGAGAGCCTGGTAGGAAAGAGCAACTCCTTCTGCCCGCAGTATTTAAGAACAGCCTCTCCATGCAGATTCAGACACGGCAAAATCCATGACTAAAGCATTGGTGGGCTTTACAGCGGTACCAAAAACCGTACCGAACCTAAAACTGTGATATAAACCAAACCGTGGATTTCGTGAACTGTTCCACCCCTAGTCTAAAACACAAGCAGCAGGATTCTGTCAACATAAAATACAGTCTAAATTTAGCAAAGTTTCCTGATTTAGATCAGGATGAATCTGATCAAAGAATAAGCAAACAGAACTAAGAATATGACCAAGCATTTGATGATGACTTTTGACACATTTCAGTCTGAACTCAAACTGACTGAGCTCTGTCCAGCCCATCCATGAGCCAGATGTTGGCTCTGTGATCACTGTATCAAACATCAGTGGGTGTTGGCGACGGTGAATACTCTGCTCCCGTCTTCTTTGTAGCTTTTATTATTGTGTTTTTGTTGTTTTGTTAAACTAATTAGTTGCCTCCTTGTCAGTTGCTGCTGTGATAAATGAGTTTCCTGCCAAGATAAATAGTGTCATTTTTTTTCAATCTAGGTGGCCTCAATCTTAAACCAACTGGAGAAACTGTGGAAAGGGAAATGATGTTTGTTGTTGTTTTACTGTGTGCAACAACAGCGCCAGTTTGTCTTTTCTTGTTTTATTAGACAGAACTTCTAGTATATTCACAATGTATGTGTATGAAATGTCAGGTGGCAGGTTTCTCTACTGTAATTCTCTTTTAACTTTTGATTAGAGGTGAGACAATTACTTTATTAATCATTATTTATTAGTTATTTTTAAGCAAAAGCACCAAAAATATACTGGTTCCATCTGTTTAAAAGGGAACATTTATTGGTTTTCTTAGTCCTCTATGACAGTAAACTCAATATCTTTGGGTTTTGGACTGTTGGTCGGACAAAACAAGACATCTGAAGATGTCAGCTTGGGTTCTGGGAAATCGTGACGGGATCTTCTGGCATTTTAAAGTCCAAACAATTCATAATTTAATTGCAATTAATTGCAAAAATAATAGCCAGATTATTTCATAAATCTGCAATATAGTTGGGTGCAGCTCTAATTTTCATATCTTGTTACAGTTAAATTCGGCTTAAGAATGTGAATGTGGCTTAAGAATCTATGATCCTTCACAGGGGTTTATAGATTGGAGAAAAAGAGCGGATACCACTGCAGAGGGGAAGGATAGTAGTCGCAAAAATGGCCCAAAAATCCCAAACAGCTCACACCACTCCAGCTTGCAATCTGCATAACCACAGAAACAGGCAAGCATGCAGAAACATCAAGAGGCAAAGCATGAGAGTCAACCACAGAACAAGCACAGTCCCAACTAAACCGTGAGCAGTGGTTGAACAGGGCGTGAGGCTGGGGGTATGGAGGGCGGGGCCAGGGGCTGACCGTGGAGGTACTCTAGGGGGTCTTGGCCGGAGATGAGCCAGTTTCGGAAGAGGCGGAGGTGGTAGGAGCACTGGTGGAGGTGGTGGGCCAGCGCCCCGTCCAGAGAGAGGTGGCAGCCCAGGCTGAGGTCAGTGGAGAAACGCCTCAACAACTGGGCCACATGGTGCTCCTCCAAGGGCTCTGAGGAAGAAGAGGGAGAGCGAGGAAGGACAGAGCAGTGGAGGAGGAGGAGGAGGAAGAGGAGTGAGCAGTACAAAAGACATGAAACGATAGGATATGAGCCAGGAGGAAGGAAGAGAGAGCAGGACTGAAGTACGATACAGATGGAGGGAATATAATAGTTTGGAGAGAAAGGGAGGGATACAGAGAGAGGAAATAGGAGGGAGGAGAAGTGTAGTGTGTGTGTGTGTGTCTCTGTGTGTGTTTGAGAGAGAGAAGGTAGTGCTGTAAACGCAAGAGGCAGCCAACAGCTTAGCCTGGTCGCCAAACAGCCACAGATCAGAAGAAGCAGCAAATCATCTCAAGCAACTTTCTGCGATAATCATCCAGCACTTCAGCAAGGCTCAGGACAAAGACAGTGACAATAAAAACATCACGTTGCTCCTCTGCGGTCTCTCTGAATACGACTGAAAAATAACGCTGATTTAATTATTGAGAATCCACAAAGGAGCAAGTGTGACACAAGACACAAGACACTTACAGGAAGCGGTAACAGTGTCGCAGCCACCTCTCCACAGAAACACTGCAGAAGCTGTTCAATGTGCAGACAAATCTCGTGTCCACATTGACAAACTATTTGGACAACTTTTTACACTGTTTATACGAAGCTGCAGCTGGACATTTTGGCGCCAACACAAAACTGCGTCGCTGGGGCCGTCGTACCTTTTGCAGTGCACCAGAGAGGTGGAGCCACTGCTATGGTGGATGTGTCATCTTGTGTTCCTGTGGTGAATAATATACGTCAGAGGAAAAACATACTAATACAGCGTGTGGGAGTCAGTGTATTTGCATGGTATCGTGTTCATTCTGTGGGGTAAATTTTAATTTTCTAAAAGGTGGACTGTTCACGTTACTGCTCTGGTTTATGGGTCGACTCACAAAAACTTGCCACCGAAACACCTGAATGTGGATGAACATTTTTCGCCAGTCAGACCGACCAAAAAGACAGAAAACTCCTCGCATGCATAAAAAGCAATTCAGCTTTGCTATTCAATTCCAAAGCGGAGATATAAGATTTACAGAATCCAGACTGACCAAATCTTGCCCATTTAAACCAGTCTTGAATGGAAGGACAGGAAATATAGCTGACTTATCTCTATGCTTCCCTTCTGTCTCACCGTCCATACTCAAGAAATCAATAAAAATAGCCAAGTGGAGCCAAAAACACAGTCACTCCTTCATTAATAATTGAATATTTGCCCTCTTTTCAAGTCTTGAACACACTGGACAACCACATCTGTGCACTGAAAACATTAAAAAGCATATGTGTGCTTATGAATCAAACCAAAACTGACTGATGTTTCTTTCAGAACAGACACAGGAGATGGGATGAACAATGCTTTAACCCTTCCCCCGTTTGTCAATAAGAGCTGATCCTGGTTCAGTCAGCTGTGTTCAGTCAACTGTATTCATCCTTTAATCCACATAATACAGGCAGCTTTGTTAGAAAAAAAATTAGAGGTTAGCATTATTGAGGGAATCATGAAGCGGAGGTCAGAGGAAGGGTTAAACATTCAAATGCTGTTGGTGGCATTTTAACAATGAGCTTCGTTCACACCCTCTACGATGATGGCAACAGGTGTGTATTTTATGTAACTACTGTGTACACATGCACACACACACTCACACACATCTATCCACTGGGGGAAAAAAATAAAATACTGAATTATTATTATGTAATGGTGATCAATTTATAAATTGTATGCAGGATGTTAAACAGGGTTCCCACCCTTGGCTCAGTACACAGTTCCTTCATATGGCTCTTTGCATTGTTACGGTTCTTTTTAAACATGAAAACAGTGAGGGAGGGATGAAGCTTTAACAGTTTAACAAAGAAATGATGAATCTAGTTTACAATCACATGTCCATGAAGAAGATTCACTTGTTATTAGTATCAGTTTTTGAAAATAAAGGGGACCTCCACTGATTTTTGTAGGTTGGTTTACCAGTCACAGGGAGGACTACTCAGCCTGTGACACTTACATAATGTCTTCTGTGGCTCAGAGGACCACGATTATCTCAGCTTGGAGACTATTTTTTAACAGAAAGTCTGTGCTCCAAAGGGTGTTAAGTTTGAAAGAGATTTACCAGTCAGGGAGGATAAGAAAAGACACTACAGAGTTGCGGTGTTGGATTCAGTCTTTTTAGAACTAAAAGTCAAGATATCTTCTTTCTGCTTCGATTCTGAACCTCCGTCTCTTGCAAGTCCCCGAACTTTATAAAAGTGCAAAGTGCTAAATTAAAGTGGCCCTTTGAATAAATAAATCAGGGCTGATATTATTAAAATCTTTGACATCAACCTTCAGAAATGGTTTTTCAGCTGGCCCTGTAACAAAACACTAAGTTGATGTAACTTTAAAAAGAAAAACACCGGCAGTAAAGCGGACGACAAATCGCGTTGGTCTCACAATAAAGTTGGTCTTTGTACTACAAGTGTTGTTAGAGTTTTGAGTGTGCACATTTATCCACTATAAAAAAAATTCCAAAATGGAATAAAAAAAGTCCCTCCACATTTTAAAGATGAGAAAATTAACCCTTGTGCGACTCTACACCTGGCAGTGATGACGCAAAATGATGATGATTAGTAAGGGTCCGAAATCTCAATTAACTCCTTGGGTCACTATCACTAGAGATGTTCCAATACTATTTTTCCATATACTGTACAAGCCCTAGAAACTGACTTTCCCCAGGAGAAACCTAGCCAGGAGAATCGTATATTCCTCTAATCCATTATCTGTTTACTCGTATACACAATGTTTAAGAAATCAAAATACAGCAGCATCCATGGTTTTTGCCTATGAAGTGAATAGTAACCAGGTAAAGGCGCTAAAAGACTGCAAATTGGAAATGATTCCCATTAATCCCTGCCGATATGCTGTGTTTTACTAACAGGTATAATCGATGTGAAAACGTTTTTATTAGTTTTATATCCCGGCCCGTGTAAAACTTTGCTGACATTCCCTGTCTCCTAATTTCTTGATATTTCACAAATTCAATGACCAGTGGGAACCCTGGTTAGAAAGAGAATGTCAGGTAGTGTTAGAAAAGTAATAATCCAAAGCATATGGGTAAATAAAAAAACTTAAATTAAATCATTAGGAAAAAATAACGGAAACCTGGAATGCTGGAGGGCCATGTGAAAAAAAACCCAAGGTCAAAAAACAAAAGTTTGAAGACATGCAAGACAAAGGGAAGTGAAGTGGAAAAATACTTGAAAGAAGCAGACGTACCATTAGTCGGATACTTTGCAAACGACACAGAAAATCGTTTTACTGCCGGCATAGACAACAACTCTGAGGAAATAAAAAAAAAATTCACTAGTATTACTTTGAGCCACAGTAACTTGTATATCATGTTTTATAATTTCCCTGATCTTGTCTAATGTGGACGCAATAGTGGAAAGTTCAACCAACACCTACTGTTTACAAATGAGTGGTTCAAGAATCACACCTATCTGTTCCAGTTTATTAAGAGGCACTAACTGAAGTTACTGTGAAAACTGTGAGATATCTGATGTTTGAAGATGTTTGAAGATGGCTGTGGGGCAACACATGGATGGAACATCTTCTGAAGACAAAGTGAGATGAAATGTTTTAACTTAGGAGGTGAAGAGTTCACGCCAGGAAATAGAAAACTTCGAAAAACAAGCCCAATATTCAGGTCTAATTTGTGCTTTTCTTTCCTCTTCCTGCTTGAGGTCTAACCATGACAAGATAAACAACAATCCCAGTAGAGTTAAATGCCGTTCAGCCTCTCTGTCATGTACTGAGACACAGAGACAACAATGAAAAATATCAACTAGTGAACCTGATCAGGATTAAGATGCTTCAGCATGGAAATAAATGCAAAAAAAAATAAATAAATAAATAAATGACACCACCAACACTACACTCACAGAGGAGCATGCACTCAAACCGCACAATCTGTGCGTAATCGACTGCATCGAGACGAGAATGCTTCCTTTGATTCTTGAAAATGAGGTGTAACAAGATGGATGACAAAGACCAACAGCAAGGCTACATGTGAGACAACCAGGAGGATGGAAGCTGAAAAGAGACTGTAGGTCTGTATAATACCACAGTGACACCTACTGGACGACATGGCAACAGACATCAATGTCAGCTGCACAATCAGGGCCAAGCGTAGTGGCCATGCTGCACCATTAATTTAATATCGACCGTTTATAATTTATTTTCATATATAATATTATTCAAAAAGATATTTGAATAATATTTGCACAGAGTTACAGCCCCTGGTTTCTAACTCCATCAGCAGAAAAATGTGCAAAGAAGGTTAGGAGGGGATGATGAGAATGTAAAATTGCTGTATGACTTCTGCTATTGAGTCAGAATTTATTAGAGTTCAAGAGACATCAGACTATCATGTTTCTCTTGGAAGTATCATAAATGTTTCTTATGTCAGTAGCCAGCAGAGACTGGTTGTATTGTATCTATAACCAAGTGTATCTTCAGTAATCATTGGAAAATCTGACACTGAACAGACTGTAATAGGAAGTCAGTGCAGCCATGGACCATGCAAAAAACAAAACAAAAAGGGGACATTGACATTGAGAATGAGGGGCAGTTAACAGACAAGTACTGATGGACAGTTGCTTCATACATGCAGTAGTTTTTAAAAGAAATATTGTTTGCTGCTCAGAATGAAAAAATAAAGCTTTGACTTAAATCTCAGACTATCAAACTCTCAAACACCCAAAGCTGAAAAGTGTCCACTGCACAGTTAATATTGCAGTTGCCAAAAAGAACATAATCATATGCAACATTTCAGTTCACTCAGCTAGTAATAAACCTGACTAAGTGTACATTTACTATATTTACTATACTTAAATACATCTGGATCTGAATTTGATGAGGCAGATGTTACATGTGCTGCTCTTGGTAAAGCTTGCCACATTTCTTGTTGTGGTTTTCACACATATTACACATAGTATAAAGCCTAGTTTACATTCTGTTTAGAAGTTTTAACTGGGCCTGAGGCAGCATGTATACAAACTGCTAAAAGAAATAGACCAATTTCACTCAAAGTGGTGTGGAGAAAAAAAAAAGATGGGAAAATCCTGTGGTTTTGGTGGCTAGAATGAATATGGAGTCTAAAACTAAAGAAATTACAACTAAAACATAACTATTAAATACATGTATGGCTATACACTTTTCTGATAGAGCACATACTGTAATCTTCCAGTGCAAAAACCTTCAACTGCTGCTGTTTAGCATTTTATTTTACTACAGTAACCAATACATTTTCTTACTAAACCTATCTACAGTACACATCTCTACTTAATGTGTTCATGTGTCCAGTTTCCACACAGGGCATTGCTCAGGATGTCAAACCTACAGTAATGTCTAACATTTGAGGACTAAGAGGAAATGTGTAAGACACTGATCTGCTGTTGCCCTGTGCAGGTTGGTGAAGGAGCACGGTCTCATACACGTACCGTCTTTGTAGGACAGACTGCCAGTGGAGAATTTTTTGCGGTGTGCGCGTGCGTAGTCCTGCAGGTTAGGGGCGCTAGAGGACCCACCTAGGACAGTGGTGCTGAAGAGCCCGGCGCACTGAGAGCCTGCGAGGGGGGCGGGGGGGGGTTAGTTACCACTACATATCATGCTGTTACTCAAACAGCTATCCAAAAAGAGACAGAGAGAATAGAGACAGAAAAACAGAGAAAAAGAGACAGAAAAACAGACACAAGGACCCAGAGGAGACCATGTATCTCATTACCAACATCTCTCTCCATCTCTTGGCTTCTCACAAGAGGCTGGAGAATGTTTTTAAAATGTATCCATGATGTCAGGTTAAAAGGAAAAATCCACCCTGACATCCTTTAGTTTTTCTTATTAACGTGAGACACATTCAATGCATTAAAGGACCAGTGTGGTAAATTTAGTGGCATCTAGTGGTCGTAGATTGCAACCATCTAAATAACACATCTTTCAAGCATTTAGGAGAAACTACGGTGGCCGCATAAAATGTGAATCTGGTGATGTCAGAGATTTATTTTAAATCTAGTTTTGGGAAAACTAGCACAGTATACATATACAAAATTCTTCCTGTCTCAGTTTAAGTTGGAGTTAAACACTTAAATGACAACACTGCTATTTAGTGGTCTTAGTTGTAAACATAACACAAAATGAACCACAGCGAAGAATATTTGCATGTAAACTATACATTTAAAATCTATACAGTGTTTTCTAGAATTGATAAAGTATCACAAAACGGTTCATTAAAATAATTATATTTTCTTCCACTCGTAGTAGACACATGACCCTTCGACATGGAGGGCTCCAGGGGAAGTGGACCCCACCCCCTCCGTAACGGCTCATTCAAAAGGTAACAACGATTCTTAGTTATTTTCAGGTGGTTATACTCTGATGAAAACATACCTTTAAATATTAAATTCCCTTTTCTGCCAATAGATCCTCCTAAATGTTACACACTGGACTTTTAAATGCAATTCTGTCTCAACATTAGTACGTCCAAACAGAGAGCGTAAAAGAGTAGCATAGAAAGAGAAAATAGTTAAAGGCAAAAGCAACAAAATTAGATCGGACCCTTCCAACAGCGCAGAATGGCAGCTCCAAAAAGAAGTAGTTGTTCTTTAATTCTGAGGGACTGACATCAAAACTTGATGGTTATCTCGGATGTTTTAGACAGCAGAGATTGCACCACTGTGTATGTGCTTGACATAATTCAACACACATCCCATTACAGTGAAATACGAACCACCAAACAACAAAACTGACACAGATGTGCAACTTGGGGGGATTTTTCTTTTAAAAGCCACTGCATCAGGGCTTAACACCTGCAGATTCAGTCAATCTATCAGGATTACGTCTAAGGGGGAAGCTTACTGCGATGGAAAGAGGAGGCAATGAAATGTTAATCTGTATAGACCTGCATGAAGGTTAACACTTAAATGTCTCAGTAGAGTATCTGAACATGCCACTGGTAGAAATATTTCATGATTCTCATCACATTTAGTTCACATAAATAAAGTGTAAAACTCTCACAATCTCACAATTTACTAACTTCTTGATGCAAAACAACTGGACGTTGAGACCATTTTGTAAACACTGGCCTCACAAAGTTGGAATCGCAAACAAATTTCAAGTAGAGATTCTCCATGCAAAATACATTTTATTCCAGCGGGAGGATAATCTCTGTCCTGGAAACTGGAGCACTGAGATTTAAAGCAGGCACTGCCTTTGAATTCCAAATTCCATTTACGAAACTGGAATATTGTCTGGTATAAAATGATTTTTAAAGACTGACTTACATCTCAAAACAGGCAGAAAATGCAGCCACCATTTTATAGTATTTATATTAAACAGTACCTTGTATTTAAACTAGTTTTCTCCAAAAAAACAAGCAAATGCATAAAAAAAAACACAGGTACATTTCCATCTGGAGAAATTATGTAAAGACCAGCTGAACACATTCATTTCCACACACAGTGAAAACATCCGTCAGAGTGTATCATTTCTATTAATGATCAAAAGTCATGTAATGAAACCTGTCCCGCCCGTCCCTCCCACTCTGAGCCATTTCACACAGTAATCTATACACACTGTTGCCATGGAAACGGGGCATTATGACACCTACCTAATCCACTTTGTTTCATCTCAGGGGACTGACGTGAGCAGAGCGAGAAGAGGCGATAACTGCCTACTTTGGAGGATGATGTCTCTGACAGAACCTGGTGGTAAAAAAAAAAAAAAAA